CGCCGCCCGCCAGCGCGGGGACGTCCACAGCCTGCCTCTGCGGGGTGAAGGGCAACTACCAAACGGTCGGTCTGAGCGCGGCCGCCCGTCACTCGCAGTGCAACACCACAAAGGGCAACGAGGTGATCTCAGTGCTGCAGAGAGCCCGGAACGCTGGTAACAGGGGATGCAGGCCTGGGGTGGTACCCGTGGGGACAAGTGTGCCACACCAGGGTGTGCACCTCCACAAACATCCCAGGGCTTGATGGTGGGGGGTACCCTGTGTTACCCTTCGTGGGGCCTGACTGGTGGGTGGGCAACAGGGAAGGCAGTGGGCATCGTGACGACGACGCGGGAGCAGCACGCATCGCCCTCGGGGACCTACGCCCACGTGGTGAACCGCAACTGGTACGCGGATGCCAGCATGCCTGCGGACGCCATCAACCAGGGCTGCAAGGACATCGCCTGGCAGCTGGTCAACAACGTTGACATCAACGTGAGCACTCATGCATGGGAGGTGGGGAGCAAGGGTAGGACCCCTCATCACCTGGGCACCCCCACTAACATTGCACCCATCTGGTCCCCTCCAGGTGATCCTGGGTGGTGGTCGGAAATACATGACCCCCGTGGGGACACCGGACCCTGAGTACCCCAACCTCATCTCGCAGAGCGGGATACGGGAAGACAAAACTAACCTCATCAACGTGTGGCTGGAGAAAAACAAGGTGGGTGACACAGCAAGGACAGTCCTCTGCCCCACTACCCCCAGGCACGGGGCCAGGGCACCTGCTAACCCCCTCTGAGTTTGCCCGCAGGGTGCTCGCTACGTCTGGAACAGGACAGAGATGCTGGCTGCCGCCGCCGACCCCAGCGTGGATCATTTGATGGGTAACAAATGACGCGACCTGCCAGCCATCAGGCCGCGTGCAGACACTGAGGCTGTCCCCAACACATCCCTTCCCAGGTCTCTTTGAACCCGGGGACATGAAGTACGATGTGATGCGTGACCCTGCCCTGGACCCGTCGCTCACCGAGATGATGGAGGTGGCCATCACCGTTCTGAGCAGGAACTCCAATGGCTTCTACCTCTTTGTGGAAGGTAAGTCAGGGCTTGGCAAGAGGCGGGTGTCAGGGTGGAAGTAAGCATTGGAGGTTCTGTTGTTGGTCCCCAGCCCACCATGGACACCCATGTCTGCAGGAGGCAGGATTGACCACGGCCACCATGACGGCACAGCCTATAAGGCGCTGACAGAGGCGGTGGAGTTCGACCGGGCCATCGAGCGGGCGGGTGTCCTGACAGACGAGGCGCAGACCCTCACCGTCGTCACCGCCGACCA